TATTAGCCATAGATCAAAGACTCTTCCTCAAACAGAGGCTCTCCTTCACCTACAACAAAAGAATCTTGGTCCCTTGATACAAGCCCAACTGAAGAATTCAAAAACCCAAAAGAAAGTCAAAGCCCATAAAGACGTACCTTTGTCTTCAACGGTCAAGATGATGCATCAAGACAAATTAGATTGTACCTTCGGAGCCAACACGATCAAAACTTTCAACAGATTTGATCCTCTTGAATCTTGAGCTGTCATGACCTGCAAATGCTGACGGGTGTCAATAGACATTTTAGGTTAAACTTCCTCTATATAAACAAGCATTGTAAAGAGGCTGCATTTTAAGCAAGAAATATCAATAAAACTTTCTTCTTCAAATTCTTATCTTTCAAGCTTTCAGTACCAAACTTGGAAGGTTAAAAAATGGGTGTGGCTGCTTTACCATGGTAGTTTATCAAAGTTAGAGTACCTACATGATTCAAAACTCGAGTATCCTCAGATACTCTAGCAAAGATATCTCACTTTTCAGACTTCAAATCGAATCTCACCAAACTCATTTGATCCATGATTCTTGTTTAGATTCCAAAGTGAATACTTTAAAGTCAGACCATGGATCAGTAGAAGGAGCATTCACTTTTTTCGTGATGAACAATACTTTATACTGATCATTGACTTGATCATATCCAAAAAAATATCTTAGTAGCTTTGATATATCGAATTCGAGTCTTTGGTAAAGGTATGGACTTACCGGTGCAAGGGTTACATATGATTTCTCCAATGACCATCAAACCATTAACCTAATAAGAATGGTACTCGATTGACGGTTCTGGATAGAAAAATTGTTGATTTTGATGACGACGACAAAAAGGAAGAAGAAAAGAAGTAGCAATTAACTTGTCCCGTTTGTTGATCTCGTTTCTTATAAAATAGTCGGAGACGCCAAGCCTGAGTCAAGGATCGAAAGGGAAACGATCTGATCATAAAACCCTTGCTGCTTATGATTTTTGCCCATGATTTCTATACGAGCTAAAGCCTACCTACAGATTTCGCAGGGAATCGATTAAGAATCTCGACCACTAGATCCATTGGAACATTAGGGTTTTCGTCTTTCCAATGAGATTGCACTTGTTTTTGGTTTTCGTCTTTCTGACAAGACCAAAACGTCACATGATGGTAGGAAACTCAAAGAGATGTGTAGTATTTTTTCGAGGCGTTGATTACTTACAAAAAAAAAAAAGCCACCAGGCCCACAGTTTGGTTAATGTGCTTTCCCATATATCTAATCCGAGTGGGAAAGTGGATCTTACCTAACCGGGTCGGGTCTATGGAATATGCAGAAGCATATATACCGGATCGGAATCTCGGATGTTGGTTTATTGTTTACGAGCATTAAGGCCCATCCTAAGTAAGCATGAGCATAAGTAAAATGATCTTAGTTTTAATAAATATAGCAGTTCAAACTCTAAAAATGTTCTTAATTTTAATAAATATAGCAAACTAAACTCCAGAAACACAAAACTTTGAAAGGAATTATAGAAAAAAAAAAACCTACAACTGTCTTCGTCTCCATATCCTCTTTTCTCTTTGCACTTTATCATTTGCATCCTCTCTTTATTCGTTGTTGTTCCCCTTCCAAGAAATATTTTTTTGAATGAACGTAAGATTGATTGCATCAATTGTGGCAATTTAAACTTACTTTTTTCCATTGTATATATTAGAGCATATTATGTGATACAAGGGTACATAAATTAAAATTTCTTTAGATTCAATGCAGCTTTGATATGAAATGTATATTTAAAATCTTATACCAGTGCAAGTCAGAAAGAAAAAATTCGAGATAACTGAAAAGAACAGAAAATTAATCTACAAAAACAATATACTTAAAAGAAAATGCATCATAATGTTAAACTCACTCTCATCCGTTAGAACTTGGCCTAAATATATTTCTTAATGATGCTACAGCGACAACCTAAGCTCGTTTAGTTGCATGTGTTCCAAATGTGATCAGTTTTAGTTTTGGGTCCGAGAAATCACAAGTTCATTGGTGAGCCAATTGATACAATCAAGACGAAAATGGATCCAAACTCCTACTTATATAATCACAATTGATCAAATTGCAGTATAATAAGCAAAACTTTATTTAAGGAATGGCTAAAACAATTATAAATGATAGAACGGAAAAGTGAAAATATCCAAAATTATAAAACAAATATAAATTTATGGTTCTACATTAACAACACATATCCAAAATTAAGTGAAAATCAGAAAAGTGATAAACAAAAATAAAATGCTAAAACTTTTTCAATGGTCAATCGAAAATACTGTTACTTTGGTTTCTCCGGAAGTCCTTTGAAAAATCATAGCATACGGTGAGGTCTTGTTGGAGACAACCATGATCGAATTCCACTTGATTT